CATTTGGAGTTGTCCTGCTTTGTATAAATACTCACTGAGTGACAGTCTCCTGTCTAACCCACTGAGTATGGCACTCATATGGTTTAATGGGAAACAATTTTGTATGAAGTGGAAGAGCTCCAACAGAAGATTAGTGTCACACGTAAGAACAGCCAGTGGCCTGGAGGTCTGCTTGAATTTTGAGATTTAGATATGTTTAAATAGTTGAACATTGTTCTCCTATATGCCAGGTAAGTGTACTGTTTGCATGGTGGTGACTGTTCTGGTAGGATATTGGATATTTAAATTTTGTACTGGAATAGTTACATGGAACTACTAATAAATTTCTTCAGACTCAGTCTACCTAAGCTCTTGAGAAACTTCTTGCTTATGTTATTTTAACTTCACCCGTAATCTATGTGCGTGAGTGAAATTGATGTAAACACTGATTAATCTTATTTTTAAAGCCTAATTTTAGGAAAATGTATCAGACACTGGGTTAAGGATGTGTATTGGTTTTAACCTGATCAAATTAAAATAATTGGATCGTTTGTATTTACAAATATGGTAAGAGTTTATAGGTTTGCTTGTCCCCCCTGAGGATGTGTTTGGACCACTTCACCTTTGAATTATTCAATCAAGAATAATTCTGAGATTTCCAAATGTGCTTGCCTGGTATAAAGTAGTACAGAGGTTAATTCTATTACTTTTTTCTGTCTCATCTGAAACAACTGATGAGAGTCTTCAATCTTGTGCTTGCTACTTGCTGGAAAAGCCTTTATTTAAAAGAAGCTGCTGCTGGTCTGTTTTCCCCATTGGAGACAATTATCTATCGCAATTTATCAGGAAAGATGAGAATCAAAGTGACATCCTAGCTGATATATTTTTGTTCAGTTCTGAAAGTGATATTAAAAATTGTTACTAATTGCCACTTCTGAATGACCTTGTAAGTGATAAGCTGCATTGCTATGTAATTATTGCAGAAGAGCAATGTTCAATTATTTCTTTTGTCTTAATTGCCTTTTGATCAGCTCTTCACATGTGTGAAAATTTCTGAACGCTGTTTGCTTAATAACCTTTCAGAGAAAAGGCCATTTATAGGTTATACACATATAACCAAATGTTTTGCCATTTTATGGTTAATATTAATAGCACCAAACTGAAGAAGTTCAGTAACACTGCTGGAAGTGTGTGTGTTGAAACGCAGAAGTTGCCTTACTCACTAAAATAGTAAAACTCGAACAAAAGTCACTTTAACTTCAGTGGTAGTTAGATGAAACCTTTGACATAACTGCCAACAGTGGATTTAAATGGCTGTGCCGAGAGGTGTGGGTGCCTGATGGCTTGTACAGAATCATGCGTTCTGTTCTCTTTTAGGATTTGAGATAGCGCCCATCGTTACAGTGTCTATGGTTTGAAGTTTCTTCTGACATCTTCCTTTTAAAAGCGTAGCTTAAACCTTTTATGCATGATGAAAGTATTATCTCCTTTTCTGCCTAATGGTAATTTAAAATTACTGAGATGTTCCATGAAGCTTCTTTTTTTTTTTTTTTAAAAAAAAAAAAAACGGAGCTGAATTTTGGAATATATTATAGTCTGTAAGGACAACCGTATAAAGTATCCTGACTCATTAACTGGCTTATCTGAGTCAAAAAAAAAATAGAGGGGGAAAAAAACTGCCACACCATATCCTGCCATATAATCCTTTATTATAACCACAGAATAAAATCAGGCAGTAAATCCTCTTATGCCTGTAAATACCCTTACTGTACAAATAAAATAACCTTGTGAGAACTGTAAAAGTTATTAATCTTCATACAGAGCTGGGGGAGAGAAGACGGTTTATAATAGCAGCCTTGTAGGGCTATTAGTTTGTAACAATAGAACTGAATAATTGATATGTTTTATCTTACTTTGTCTGCATCTCACTCCCATACCATTCAAGTTCCTGTTTCTGCCTGTGAAGAAGACTTTACAAAATAATTGCATACAGTATTAAATAGTGCTGTTCTGGGAAGTGAAGAAGTCATGCTGGGAATTTCCAAGAGGCAGAAAGAGAGTAAGGGTATCCTTACCTTTTAAAAGGTTATAACCTAACCAGAGAGAAGAGTGCCCACCAATTTCACTTGTGTCTCTGCACAATTCTGACATCCGCTTAAAATCTGTGGCCAATCAATATATAGAAATGTAATCAGCGAAAGGATCGTTTCAATGGCACAAGAAATTAGAAATGAGATACGCTGGGACATTCTCCAGTCAGCCACCAGTAGCCACAAACTGTTAGTAATTCACGCTTACTTGTCTGTCTGCGGTGAAATGCGTTGGCCAGCTTCTAGCAGGCAGGGATGTATCGCAGCACAGCAGACACGCTTGGATTGCTCTGTGGGTTCTATGGATTTCAGCTTCCCTGGCTGTCAGGGCAAATTGTTTTGAGCAATAAATTTACCTTTTTTAAAAACAGATGCAGCTGTGGGTAGCTTCTTACAAGCACACTCTAAGATGGAAGCATTATGGAGCTAGACCCCCCCCAAGGATGCACTGTTTTATGTGTTCTTATAAAAAGTGTATGTAATTTACTATAAATGCATTCTTAGAACCATAGAAACACTGGTGAAACTGGAGAATTTGCTCGGTAACTTGGGCCCGGTACTTTTTGTCTCTTTGAGCGTGATGTTTATCCTTCAGATGACTTAGTTTTAATTGTTATAAAGCGGTGCTTGACAAGGCATACTAAAAAAATTAGTAGTGCTGTGTCTTTAATCTTCCTCCTCTTGCTCTCCTTTATAATTTCTCTTCTTGTGCTGTCTGGCTGTGTATCTGAGGGTTACCAGGTTTACCATCAAATTCTTGTTTACGCTTGACTTTATGATGGAGACATTCAGCCTTATGAGTAATAAGCTCATTAAGCCTAGTCTGCATCAGCCTAAGCTGCTTTAACTCTAAGCCATGGAGACGTCTTTTGTGAGGGGCTCTCCAATCCCACAATTTGTTCCTTTAGCGCCTTAATTTCGTCAATTTTCTGTGTGTTTTTTTTCATCTACCCAAAAGGCAATTATCAGCCTTATTCCAGGAGACTTTTGGAGCCTTCTGACAGGTTAGGGAAAGTGTTTCTATGTTAAGATTTTGATCCTGGAATTTCAACAGATGATGATAAATGTAATTAAAAGTGATTAAATTAGTCTGCTGTGCTGGCCTTATGGACTCAGAGTAAAGGCCAGTATTAGGCAGGCAGAGGAACAGGCTTAGTGCTTAGATTTGTTTGGTGGGATTTTTTTAGGTTTTTTTACTCACTAGAGAAAATCAGAATGTATTATGTATTCAGAGCTGGCTACTGCTTCATCCTGTTTATAGCTATCTTATATAAGAGACAAACAATATTTTAAACTGGAGGTGGCTCCACGTGGTACAACCAAATGTGTTTCCTAACCCTGCCCCAAACCTACTGAAATACTGGTGTGGGACTTGTTTTTTTTTCCCCTTAGCTTCAGGGATGTGTTAAAATCCGTATTACCTGTTAATACACACGCCCACTTGCTTATGAGTGGTATTTGCATCAACACACATTTCTTTCCCAGTCCTGACATTTTACTAGGCAAAAAACATGCAAATAAATAAAATTACTGCTTAATTTTCTAGCTTTTCCATAAGATTCAGATTTGTATTCTTGAAAGAAGAGATTTGTGACACCTTATGCATTGTTAATGCTAGCTTGTATTCCACCTTGATTTTTGGATAAATTTGCCCTTGATGTAGGTCTATTAAAGACTAATTTGTTACACCAGAAGTTTAGGCATGCATCACCGTTTAGGATATGCCATCATATTGCAGTGTAGGCAGGTAAATTCTATGCCTACCGTCAGCTTTCACTGGCCTCTTTGGAGCTTTGGAGAGTCTTCCATGTTGTCATATCCTAGAATTTTCCAGATTGTAAAAAAGAAAGAAAAGCATGACAGGCAACTAAAACAGACTTGTAATGTTTCTAATTTTACAAGTCAATTTTTCACACAGGTTTTTTGAGATTGGGTTTGTTTGGGTTTTTTTTCTGACAAAGTAAAGAATTAACTAAGAGACTGCAAGAGAAAAAGAAGAAAGGAAGTTTTTGTGACGATCTCCTCTGATTAATTTTCTGTAAAATTATAATTTTCAGTCACAAAGGTATTTGGAGACTAATTCTTTGAGTAGTTATTGAGTAAAAGGCAATGCACGTGACCAGTGCTACTCAACAAATGTCAAATTCTCAATATTGTTGTCAATACTGTGTATGATTTTCTTTGCAGCCTCAATTGGATAAGTTGTCAGGGTTCACGTGCTATTGCAGAGTGGTGCTAATCCATATAGTTCTTCCTTCTAGATGGACAGAAATGCCCTGTTTGTTAAGCCTTAAAATGCTGTGGGATCCCTTGAAATGAAAAGGATCATATAAAAGTGCCATGCACATTATTAGATGTTTTTAAGAGTTCAAGGATGTGTTGCGTTTCAGAAGACTGCCATTATAGGAGCAGGTTCTACTTTGATAAATTATAAAAATGACTGTGAATGACTCACAGCTCAGTTATAATTATTCCTAGCGCTAATTATGTGTCCGAATTATCTGAAACGCTGTATCAGACATCGCTTGCATATGCATTACCTGTGTAATCATGAAACTGCGCTTTTTCCAATGTAAACTTACTGAGGGCTCTACTTCACAAGTCCTTCCCTTTGAGGGCTCCTCACCCAAGCAGGCCCTATGATTTCAGGGAAACTAATTAATCAGGGTAAGGATGTGCACGACAAGCTTTTAAACCAGTTTTATGACTTTACTCTGTGGGGAAAAACTTGAAAATACTTTACAGAGAAGGTTGCAAAGTATTTATTCCTCACAGTCCTTCAATACTCACTGCAGACATCTGAGGAAAAAATATATCTTTGTCTGCTGATTTACAGTCTGTGAGAACTTATCCTGTCTCAGGCAAAGATGTTTTAAGACTGTCTTGTTTGTTTTGTTTTTGTTTTGTTTTGTTTTGTTTTTTCATTTTCAGCTTCTGGAAAAAACCAACAATATGTTTGAGGAATCTGATTCTGCAGCTACGAAAAGTCCTTTGCATTTAGCTGTAAGTATGAGACATGTGTAAAGTGTTTGATCGTTATCTCCTAGAATAATTCTTTAATCTCTGTCTTTGAAGCAGGTTTAATCATAGACTTGTTTTGAAAAAGCTGGGAAGGGATGTAGGCCTAGATGTAACAAAACCAGGTTCTGGGCTGGAATCATTAATTAAGTTTTTGGCAGTTGAAGCTCTTGGTTCTTATTGACTAACATTCGGATAAGACGGAGACACGGACACTGAAGTGAAATGAAATGGAAAGTTGCAGCTTCTATTTTTAACTAGTTTATAAATCTGGGGCCTGGGCTTCAGCCTCTGGCTTTGATCATGGAATGGGATGCTCTGATGTTCTCCTGGAGTTGTGCAGAGTGCAAAAAGCTGTCTGGTACATAGCAAGGTGTGGGAAAGCATGTTTAAACCCCAGTGGTGCCCTGGTATCGTACTATGGAAACTACTATCAGGAGGAGATGAGATCCAGCACATGTGGCCTCAGAGATCACAATAGCTTCCCTTTCCCAAGAACTCAAGATTCATGATCCCTCTTCCTGGTTTTCTTGTGCAGAATCACAGAATAATTGAGGTTGACATGGACCTCTGGAGATCAGCTAGTCCCACCACCATGCTAAAAGCTTAAGTAGGTTTTCTCAAGGCCGTGCCCCATCTCATTTTGAATATCTCCAAGCATGGAGAGTTCATAGCCTCCAGGCAATCTATTCCAATATCTGACCACCATCACAGTAAAAATGTTTTGGGTCTTTTTGCATTAAATGGAATTTCCTGTGTTTAAATTTGGGCCCATTGCCTCTTGTCTTGTCACTGGGCACCCCTGAGAAGAGTCTGGCTCTGTTTTCTTTGCTCCCCGATCAGGTGTTTACACACATTGGTAAGTTGGCTTTGAGCATTTTCTTTTTGAAGCTGAACAGTCCCAGACCTCTCAGTCTCTCCTCATATGTCTTTCACAGACTGGCTCTTCACTGAATATCCAGCCTCACTGTCAAGCTGCCCTCCTCTTGAAAGGGAAGCAACTTGCTTACTCAAAAATAGGGGCAAGTTTTAGTTCTGTAGTGATCATATCTCTGTTTCTCAGTCAGCCAGAACAGCTCTGACCAGACTTTTCAATTATCTACGCGTAATCTGAGGGAACAAGAGCCAAAACAGTTGGGTTAAAATACTGAGTTTGTTGCCAAACACTTCTCCCCATCTTTTTTTCTCCGAGTTGAAGACTGCGGGAAGGAGAGCATCACTCCCAAGCCCAAAAAGGATTTATAACCTGCACTATCACCAACACAAATTCCTGTGCTGGGAAGGGACTTGCCCTGCAGCTGGCCAGACAGCAAACTCATTTTCTCTCTAGTCCCCCTTGGGAAGAATCCTTGCAAGGACACTGCCAGTGGCTCTTCCTCTTGTATCTGTTGCTGGTTCACAGCAGTTCATTCACCTCAGATGCCCCAAACCCACAGTTTAAAAATTAAAAAGCTTACATAAAACCTCACTATTTCACAGTTCAGTTGCAGCTATCCAGGAGCGTCTCTGACATTTGTTTCAAACCCTCCCATGTATTGGGGTGCCTGTGGCCATCCTTCCCCACGTCTAGCAGCATCCACATGAATCTCTCCACATGTGGACCCAGAAAGCAAACCACCTACACCAAAACACAAAGTCCTGTTGAATGGCTGATACGGCGCAGTGGACAAGGCCTCTGCTTACAGATGTTTGACCCTAGAGTGGAAACAGGATTTAGAAACAAGGGGTGGACTAGCAGCCAACAAAATACTGACCTGCCATTCCCTGAGGCTACAGTGCGTCATTGTGTTCATGATTGAATAAATGACCGCCCAAGGCAAACCAACAGGAATAAAAAGTCAACTTTATTATCCTTTCAAGGAGAGGATGGGGTATACAGTCTGCATGGCACCTTCAAGATAGATACCTCATATTGTGTCAAAGACCAGGTTGTTGCTAATTGTTTTCTAAGTAAAACTGTCATGAAGAAGAAAAGCTGACAACTGCCTTGGAGTATTTTCTGAGATAGGGCTTCCCCGTGCCCTAATTGTTTTTCTTTTTCTGCTTTTGTGTTTCTGCTTTCCTTAAGTAGTTTTCTTGGTCTAGCAGGGAAACAACTGTTCCTTGCACTTCCAGTTCTCTTGAACTTTTGACAATGGTCACTAGGAGCAAGCTGCTGCCACCACTACTTAGCCTTGAAATTCAGTGGCTCTTTGGTTCCTTCCTGTTTGCATTTCTCTTCTGTTTTCATTAATTGCTTCAACTCTGGTAATGCTAATTATATGTTTATGTATAAATACAAAGGTTGTTCTTTGTGAGTCTGACAGTAAGGGGAGGAGGGCAGTCCCTACAAAGCTGAATTAAATGTTTCCAGTTTCTGGGGCTATCCACTGGGGTTTTGCAATGTCACCTGTGTTTGTGCTGTTGGCTCAAATGTGGCTGTAGGTCTGGAAGTCCATCTGCTTGTCCACTGTAGGTGTTCTACCAAATGATCCTACTGGCAGGAATACTCCATGGAGCATCAGCTATAAACAGCAGGTCAAGTTTGTGTTTGCATTTGCACAAAAATCTGTTTTGAGAACTGCTTTCTTTTAGTTGGAGAGCAGCAGATGTGTTGAATTTAGCACTCAGGTGATAATACATGTGATCGCTGACCAGCATCGCTCTAGTGAATCTAGTTTATGAAGCAAACATTTCCCTGAAAGATACCATAAAACATGAAAAATGAATTGACTTGCCTGTGCTGAAATTCCTCACCTTGGGTTGTATTGGAAGGTTAGAGCAAATCAACAATCATAATTTCTCCCCAGACACTAGGATTTTTTTAGTTTCTTGGCTACAGTGTAATTCGGGAAAATCCTTTTGAGCTGAAAAGAGAGTCATAAAGAATCAAGAAAACTGTGTCATTTCTACTCTGTTTAGGAGATTGTGGCAATGATGGATTTTATTCATGTTTTATGTGAAAATCTTTGAAAGAAGAGTTGTGTTCTTTACATGACACATTTCATGTTTCTAGGCCTATAATGGTCATCATCAAGCCTTGGAGGTACTTCTCCAGTCTCTGGTAGATCTGGATATTAAGGATGAGAAGGGACGCACTGCTTTGGACCTAGCTGCCTTTAAAGGACATGCAGAGTGCGTGGAAGCTCTCATCAGCCAGGGCGCTTCTGTCACTGTAAAAGATAATGTCACCAAAAGGACCCCCCTCCATGCTTCAGGTGAGTGTCCACTTATGTTGTGCTGTGGTATAAACCCCACAACACAGAAGCAGTTACCTTTATCTCTCTACTATCCCTATGCGCATTTTTTCTAAATGGGAGAAGAAGATTTTGACATGTACTGAGGACTGCTGCTTGTTTGCTGAGCTCCTACGGTTCACTCTTAGTTTTCATTTCCTTGGTGTTTTTTCCTCTGTCCCTGTGGTTTGGTCCTCCCTCAGACAAAATCACATGTTTTTCCACACCACTACCGCTCTGCTCTTACCTGCTTGCCTCTACTTTACCGGACCTCTCTATTACCACTTACCCTTTAAGTTGTGTGATGTTTCTCCCCTATGACACTTTCTCTTAATGGTTCCTCAACCAAAAAAAAAAAACAAACAGGAGAAGAGAGAACACTTGCCTCACTGCATCTCCTAAGGAAGAAGAGTTGGAAATACAGGTGGGCTTTCCCTGGTGATGAAATTATCCGGGTGTTCAAAACTTCTAACTTTTCGCAGGGGCAACGCTACAGGAATTCGCCCCTTTTCAGATGTTATCCTCCTCCTGAGCTAGCTTGTGAACTTGCTGTTGCTGGGACTCCATGCCTCATGTGTTGAGTGTTAATTATGCAACGTGCATAATTAACTGGAAAATGTAGAATTTGCCATTTATTTAAAGGTTATGATTTAATATGTACCTGTCGGATAAATACGCAGAGGTGCCAAAGGGAACATTTCTCCTCTGGCTGTTCATCGAGGGGCTCAGTACAGCATAGCAGTGACCTCTAGTGGGAAGTAAAATTAATACTTTATTGGATAACAATTATTTTCAGGGCCAGACTTAATTGTCTTCCTGTTTATCTTTTAATCTTGCTTAGATTAAAATGCAGATACAACCTCTAATACCAGTTTGCTCTCTGTGTGTGATCACATAAGTGCAACCTGGAAGCATGAGGTCAAATAGACTGTTATCAATTTTGTCTGCAGTACTGAAGAAAATGTTTGTAATAGCTCTTCACAGCATACTAAAAAATGCTTTCTGCCTTCTTAAATTTTGCATCAGAACCGAGTAGGTTACTCCCCACAATAAACTAATGGAGGGGGGGTTTTAGATGTTTTTGATAAAAACACAAAATATTAAATTCAGCTGATCCTCACACTGTTAATACTGCTGATTTAATTAATTTAAATCAAGATCTGTGCCACTACAAAACTGCAGCTGTGTTGGTCAAGAGCTTTCCTATAGTCACTTCAAACATAGGTTGGAGTCTGATGATGAACAAGGTATGACTTCCTCTAGTACATCTTCACTATAGCAATGATTTTGCATTTATTTAAAAATTTGGTTCCAGTGACATAGGTTTCTTGTCACAGCTGAACTATCAGGCTTCTGCAGCACTGAGAAAAGCAAATGGTAACGAAGCCACATTTTTGTTAGCAGCTCTGACTTAAAATATGGATTTGTTGAACAGATCTGTTGACCAGAATTGAGTATATTTGTTGAACAGACGGTGTTATTTTTAGTAGGCACGATTATTACCTTCATACAAATTCTGATTGTGGAGGTTTTTTATCTCTTTTAGTTTCTTTTTTAATTGATCCCATTACTGTGCTATGAGTGTCTTCCACGTAAAACCAGTAGGAAGATTCATTGTAGACTTTTCTGATCTGTGATACTTTTTGCTTCTCAGATTAAAAAAAATAAATTCCAGGGGTACAAGCAAAACATTCCTTAAATCTGCAGTGAAGCAAAATAAGTTAGGATTGTATTACAAAAAAAAACCAAACCCACAGGAATGAGACACTAAAGAGAACATGTACCTTAGGCAGAAGGGAAGATACTGTACAGACAAGTTGAATATTTGAACTCTTAGTAAAGGAAATATATCACTGTCATGAATTTGGAGCCTATCAAATGTGAGATAAGTTCACTTTGGGTAAATACCCATTAAGACAACGTTTAGAACCTTCCACTCAAGAGCTATGCAGAGTTCTGTGGAAATTAGCTCTGGAGTAAAGCTTCTATCTCCAACTATTATAAAAAGCCACTTGGAATCTGATTATTTTCATTATGTCCTTTCATAACAATACGTTTTGTTTAGGAGTGTTTTAGCAAAGAATGATGCCACCTATTGGAAACTCTGCATGGTGCCACAGCAGCGTTCGTTTTTTATTTGCAATGCAAGTGTAAGAGGTAAATTGGCACATTTTGAGAAATCAAACAGAATTCTTGCTGAATTAATCCCTTGGGTGACAGTACGCGTTTGCACACACACAAATGAATACTTGCACGTGCAGTACTGTGCACTGGAAAGAAACAAGAAGGCATGTGTGCCCATCCCCTTAAACGTGTTTGCCTTCATTCCTTCTAATTACACAAGCACAATTGCTGAACAGGACAATTAAGGAGACCTGAAGTGGTGGATTACAGGATTCTGCAGAGCTCCGTTCAGTAAAGGGATTTGTAACTTCAGTAGAGAAATCACCTAATGAAGTATTTCTTTTCTGTCTGCCCCCCTCAGAGAATAGACTTCCTCTGACCTCATAATACGGAGAATTTCCTTAGCCTAAATTACATGCTCCCAGTATACTTTTATTACCACCAGTCTTTCCTCTGGCTAGTTTGGGGAATCCATTGCAAATGTTCCCTGAGTGTTAGTGGTGTAGCTCTGTTGGCAAAACTGATGTTCCCTGCAGGGTCTGTAATGCTTAGCAATTGCTGGGTCAGCTCCTAAGAGTTTCTGGGAGTATCTGTTCTAAAACTCATTTACCAAAAGCCTTTTCAGACATTGGTGTGAACAAGTTATGATTTCTCTTCCTCCTGCTGGGAG